GACTGCAGAGTTTAGTCATCGTTAGAATTCTGGACGATCTAGCAACTTGGGCGACGACTCCTTCGTTCTGGGCGTCCATAAAGCATTTTATTCGTTCTGGGCGTTCTGTAAGCTTGGACGACAATGTTCCTTTGTGTTGTTTGCTGCTTCCCCTTTGTTTGGACTTTCATCTCGGATTCTCAATTAAACTTCGTTCTTTGGGCCATTTAATTTGGGCTGCACTTTTAGTGTGTCAACAGTATGGGAAAAAAAAAAACGCCTAAGCTTGACTAGTCTTGGACAAAAAAAGCGCAAAAAAGTCCGAGGTGAGACGTTTTGCACTCGTTGCGCGACTAGGTGTCTCTTTTAGAATACCGAGGTAGAATATAGTCTTGCATGCCCCCACACGTAGTGCTCGGACGTGCATTCATTTTTTATGTGTTATTTCTCTGTCGGCATGTTCCTCATTTATTTCGGAGTTCCAGCATTTTTGATAAATTGTTTGCAGGGGATATGTATTTACATTTTCGTAGCCTTCTGTAAAAGGAAAATGTAAGAAAGGAATATGCTTCATTTGCTAAAACTGAAAATCCGGCCTGGAGAAAAAATAAATAAAAACTCATATAACCATTAAAAATGATGGATTTTGTGTTCCATGATTCAAAATTTCCTCGTCACGTTACATAAGATAGATTTTTGGAAGTCCACAGAAAATTATTGTTAATTGACCGAACCGAGAAGCAAAAATATTATGAAAGTAATATCATTACGACTCTCGAAGTCATGTCCGGTAGCAATATCAAAGAGTAATGGATACGGAGCAAAATCTTGAAAATTTTAATGCCAATTAGCCTTTCAGAATCTTCCTAGCCTCTTATAACTTGAAATTACATGCTTTTCATGCAGAGCAAATGGTTGTTGGGTATTTTTATTTGACATTACTTCACACTAAGAAAATAAATAAATAAATAAAAAGGCAGCATGCTTGCTGCTGTCGGCTGCTACCTGACTTGCCGTGGTCGCGCTGCTGTAGCAATAAGCTTGCTGCAGCCGTCCCAGCACTCTTGGAACATAACATGTGCCTTTGCACGTGTTCGAGTTTTTACGCATTTTCTTATCCCCTCTTCACCTAAATTCAGTTATTTAATTCAAATACGAATAGTTGTGACTCGAAAAATACGTGCAATTCTCTTCTTCCATTTTCAGCCTGTTACTTTTCAAGTTATTTCCTTTTTCTTCTTGTTTCCTTAATATCCTTTGTGTCCGAAATACTCCAGAACCGGATCACAACGAATTCTCGTACAAATCTAGTGTGTTGGGGTTTAAAATCATAATGAAAAGGGCTTTCAAATTGATTTTTCTTTCTCCCCCCACCCCACCCAACTAATTTTTTTTTTTTTTTACTTCGGAAAAAAATTTATATATAAAAAAAAAAGTCATGTGTAATTTTTTGTAGTCCGACTTTTAATTCGGTCCTGGATCCGTCCCCGCACTTCAAATATAACCACATGAATAATGATAACTTATCTTGACTTGGATAGAGACTTGTTAATCTGGTTCTGATATGCTTATAATTCTGAGAATAACCAGCAAAGTATATACCCTTAAATTATTAAACTATTGAGAATCTAATAGGAAAATTGTCTGACATGTCATGTACAAGAGCAATTCTGGAAGATAAGGTTGTAGCTTTTCCAACCACTTTATCTAAAAATTCAAAAATAAATAATGTTAAA